CAGTAACGACAAACAACATGACAGAATTATAAGAAACCTAATACATCCATATATATCATCTATCGACAAAAATAATCACTTACTACAAATTGTTATGTAAATAAAAATAACGGCAACAATAATAATAATAATAATGAATATAACATTCATAGATTGCACAGCCACTTCATTATCATACCGGTTAACGTGTCATTTATCCAATGATAATTCAATTAAATCACATATCACCAACACAACAACAAAATAAAAGAAATCCGACCAATCCTTAACAATGAGACAAAAATACTACATTATATAAAGTAAATATTCGTCCTTTGACAGGATTCGAACCTGCATCCTATACGGAACCGTCATTTACGCTGACGTGCCTCAACCGAATATTTTCTATGAAAATTTCTCAGACATTCATGCCGGTAAATGTTATTTAATACTGTTTATTATAAACAGAGCATTTACTTAAATACTTGTATCTATAAAAAGAATGTTAAACATAAAAATGTCTTTAATAAAATTATATAAAGTGTAAAAAAAAAAGCTGTAAAAACTAGAAACATTCATTATATTCCATAACTAAAAACAAAAGAAAACAGAAACGACACAAGATGGCGCATGAAGACAAGACACTTAAAGAAAACTGACATAACGTATGACGATACGATAACTGAAAAAAGATAAAAGCGAAATAACAGGAGAAACACAAGGTATATCCAGTTCCGACATCACCATCAAAAAACTTTGATAATGGGTCACGAAAGCCTGCATTACTTAGACATTGAATACCATCAACATTAAAACGAAGCAACCCACACTCAACAAAATTACATTTCAAACTAGTCACGACACATTATATTGCATCTAGACATTGGTTCTGTTGTAATACTTCGGTCTATCACGTGATATGACGTCATAGAACCGCATCTTGAACTTACGATCTGCGTCTGCTATTCCACGACGTTTTTTCTAATTTCAATTTTCTCTGTCAAGACAACAAAATATCATCTGTGACGTTGTCCCCCGGTCGCAGCGTCGACTGTGTCGTTCGATCCCGGTCGCGGCGCCAATTGTGACGTCACGTGCTCCCCAGGCTCTGATATCCTGGTCACGGACAGCACCAACTGTGACGTCTTTGCCGCGGCGTCAGCTGTTCGCTCCTCGCTGCTCCAAACGTGACGTTCTAACCCTTTGGTTAGATTGATACCAGCCTCGCCGTTCCCAACCCGCTTCCAACGCCTGGTTACCAGGGTAACTGCACTGATCTCCAGTCTGCCTACCCACGTTGTGAATTGATCTTAGACAGACGAGATCAAGCAGGGGTTGGGGCCGTAATGCAAGTTGAGTCTAACGGGGTTGATAACACACAATTATGTATGAAAGAAAAGAAAATAAAAACTCACAAGGTCCAACGTATCAAGAAAAAGGTAACAAACTTTTTATGTCTAATTGCTAGGTACATAGGACTATGTCTACTTCCCGACCCGTTCTGTGGATTGTGGCACGACGCTTTTACTAGAAGGCTTCCAGTTGTCTGCTCTCTAAGAAATTTGTGTTTCGGTGTGTCTTTGGACGAAAGTCGAAAAAAAACATTTCTGTGGTCTGATTCTAAGTCGCTCTTCAAACTACTTGTTCTTGGTTGAAGAAGAGTCCAGAAGTGTGCGTGAATCTTGGTCAGCTATCTTGACGCGATTTCAACACTGGGCGATCATCTCTGCTTGTCGTCCAAGGTTCAAAACTTCTCGCCAGGGTCCGCGGCTCAATCTCTTTCTCTTCAGAGTCTGAATTACTGGTCACTCATCTCCGCCGTCGGTGCGCGAACTAACTTCTTCTCTTCGGCTTGGGTCGGACGAACTTCTTCACTTAGGCCAAACGAACTGGCCTCTCCTGCCCGCAAAGGCGCGAACGAACCTGGCCCGCCGTCCGCGGCTCAAACTGATTTCTGTTGGTTGGGGTTTCGCTTTTATTGACGCAGTCAAAACTGGGGTGGGTCTGTCGGCGCCAGGGGTTTCTTCGATAATTCTAAATACGTATCCACCCTTCTTATTTCTGGTTAGGGATTTTCCATTTTCGGTAACTCACTCTCACTCCCACTTCCTTACTGTGCCTCTGAGGGGCGTATACCCGCTTCCCCGCTTCTTCGTATCGGCTCTTTACACTTACACTTCTAACAGGGGCGTCGACCGATTCTCCTCGTGCGTCACGTGACCGCTCTCGGCCAATGAGGTCCTGGTCGGGTATCTTTCCTCCTCCTTCGTGTGTCATGTGATCTTATTTAGCCAATGACGCCTTTAGTCGGGCGTGGACAATCCGTGGCTTTGTTTTGGGAAAGAAACACCTTGCTTAAAAAACAAAAATATTAATTTAAATCGCCCTTATCATGAGCGACTGAGATGACACCTTCGGCTTTTTAACACGTGGTATTTGTCAAGCAGTTTATCGCTAATTGGATATGATCTAAGAAAGGGATTTCTCAGACCCGTTGGCGTTTTTGAACGAAATAAAAATATTTCATTTTCCTCCGCCCGAAGGTCCGATAATAAAAATCTTTATTATCTCAAAAAAAAAATTTTTTCAGCGACTCATCTTGTGTGGCTTTTTCCAATTCTGGAGACTGTCTATGTTTTCGTATTAATGGTTTGCCTTCATATCCTTAGATACACTTCCCCACCCACTTAGACCTTTACTATCATTCCAATGACACACTTTCCACTTGTTACTTATCAATATTTTCATTGTCCCTAAACTTCGTTTCTTCTTTTCTTTCTTTTCCCTTGGATGACAACCAAGTGATAACAACTTCCATTTTCCGCGGATCTCGGTCAGATGCTGGACCTGAATATTTTTCGACACCTGTTATCTGTCAGCCGTGCGAGTGTGTGCTCGCCTATGACCTGTTTTCGTATTATTTTTTCTTTCTTTCTTCGTTTTCTCCTTCCTTCTTCCAGATCGCTTGAATGTAAAGAAAGAATTATTCTTAAAACCCAAAATATTTTTCGGCCCTAAATAATTATTAAATGGTTGATAAACCGTAAAAAAACAAATCATATATCTATGAATATTTCTCTCAGCTCGTCAGGTATGCATGGTGCCACAATCTTTGACGGTGGATATCTTTGTTTCATGTCTGTATAACCATTCTGATGATGACTCATGTGAGCCGAAAGCTTAAGACCAACTTAATAAAAAAAATATCCACATATTGGACAATTTTTCTCTTTATTTTTCCGGCTCATGATCAGACATAATAGACATTCATTCTCTGTTATATTTAATAAATATTTAAATAATGATCTGCTATGCCGATACACTATATATATACCCCCACTTTACCCTGACTTGACATCCATGAAAGTAACTCTATACTTATTATTAACACCCAACACACGCCTACCCAATTTAAACAATTCGCCCTAGCTGTTACCATGGAAATTTTGATTTCAATTATTAAAACACGTAAATTTCAGAAATACGTTATTCCCCAAAAAAATTTCGCTTGAAGATGGAACAGAGCTCACTTTAACTCAATTTAATTCAAATAATTATATTGAAGTTTTCGGCTCTTGTTTTGAAACATGAGACCTCTTATGTCGCGAGTTGGAATCATATTTTTAAATAAATAATTATATTTATGCTCTACTTTTGTATCGAGCACTATTTTTAAAAAATAATAACTAAAATACTAAGGAACTTTCGATTATTTACCTAACCAGTTCTTTCCTATTTTCTATATATTTTCACACACGCACACACACACACACACACACATATATATATATATATATATATATATATATATATATATATATATATATATATATATATAGATGATTTGCGGATTGATTAAAGGCTATCGCTGGGGAAAGTGTAAGTGCATGCTAGTTGCATTTGACTTTGCACTAATTCCCATGACAAAACCACGGATTCATCACTGCTACTACTTTAAATAGTAGGATTAGATTAGGATTAGTATGAACAGGATTATGGTTAGGATTAGAAATATTAAAAAATACGATTAGGATTAGAAAAATTAGAAATAGGATGAGGATTAAATAGTCGGATTAGATTAGGATTAGAATTAAATAGTAGGATTAGGATTAGAGTAAGATTAGGATTAAATAGCATGATTTAAATAGTAGGTTTATGGTTTAAACAGTAGTATTAGAATTAGATTAAGATTACGATTAGGATTAGAAACATTAGATATTAAAAAATAAGATTAGGATTAAGATTAGAAAAAAATAGGATTATGATTAAATAGTAGGATTAGGATTAGATTAGGATTAGGATTAAGTAATAAGATTTAAATAGGATTAGGATTAAATTAGGATTAGAATAAATAGGATTAGGATTAGAAATGTTAGAAATTAGAAATAGGATTAAGATTTAATAGGATTAGGATTAAATTAGGATTAGGATTAAATAGTAGGATTTAAATAATAGGATTAGGATTGATTGAGCTCTGTAGTCTTGGCTGACTCACATTTTAAGAGAAGAAAAAGTGTTTAATTTCTATTTTCTTTTCCTTATTTTCAATTTTTTGAAGCTCGATTCAAATAAGTGGTTGAGTCTAACAATGCAAAATGGCGTAATTTTTCTTGATTTTCATTGGCCTTAAGATTTTGACCAGTAGCCGTATTTCAAATTGGTTTGATCTCAATAAACTTAGAAGAGCTCAATGTACATGGAAATGAGAAAATGATAGACTTTTTTTCGACTACTCTACCATTTAGGGAAATTCTATTTGCCGGGCAAATCAGCATATGAAATCTTGTTTTTGCAGCACCCCCTCGAAAACCAGTCTCAAGCGGATAAGTATGTCGTCATACTTGTAGGAAGTTTGTTTATGTTTCTGCTTATTCGTTTTTATAATGGGCGTTTTTATTGCTGCGATTACATTTCTGAATTTATTCTTCTGTCAATATGTGCACCTTAATCAAGAGTGGCATAAGGCCATGCTAACTTGAGAAAGAAAGAAAGCAAGAAATTGGAAGTGAAAGGCATAAAAACTAGCATAAAAAAGAAAGAAAGGACGAACACAAGAAAAAGCAAAACGAACAAACGACAGAAAGAAAGCAGGGAATTTGTGAAAGAAAGAAAGAAAGAAAGAAAGAAAGAAAGAAAAAAAGAAAGAAAGAAAGAAAGAATAAAACAAATGAAGGAACGAAAGAAAGAAAGAAAGAAAGAAAGAAAGAAACCGGGAGATTCAAAGGGAACGGCATAAAACCTACCATAAGAAAGAAAGAAAGAAAGAAAGAAAGAAAGAAAGAAAGAAAGAACGAAAGAATAAACGAACAAACGAACGAAATAAAGCAAGCAAGCAAGGAAATAATAAAGCATGAAATTGAAAGCGAAAGATATAGAAACTAGCGTAAGAAAGAAAGAAAGAAAGAAAGAAAGAAAGAAAGAAAGAATAAAACAAATGAAGGAACGAAAGAAAGAAAGAAAGAAAGAAAGAAAGAAAGAAAGAAACCGGGAGATTCAAAGGGAACGGCATAAAACCTACCATAAGAAAGAAAGAAAGAAAGAAAGAAAGAAAGAAAGAAAGAATAAAACAAATGAAGGAACGAAAGAAAGAAAGAAAGAAAGAAAGAAAGAAAGAAAGAAAGCAAGAAAGGAAGAAATGAAGGAACGAAAGAAAGAAAGAAAGAAAGAAAGAAACCGGGAGATTCAAAGGGAACGGCATAAAACCTACCATAAGAAAGAAAGAAAGAAAGAAAGAAAGAAAGAAAGAAAGAAAGAAACGGAGAAAGATCAGGGAAATAGAAAAGTAGGAAAAGAAAGAAAGAAAGAAAGAAAGAAAGAAAAAGTAATAATATAAGGAATAAAAAAGAATAGAAATCAAAAATAATAAAAACTCCCTTAAGATAGAAAGAATAAAATAATTAAAAAGGAAGAGATCGACAGTAAAAAGACGAAAAAATATCTTAAAAAAATAAAGAAAGAAAACTGAAAACAAGAGGTAAAAATACCATAATAAGAAAGACAGAAAAAAAAAGAAAGTAATAGAAAACAATAAGCCTAAAATTGTCCTTAGAGAGAATGAAATAACGAAATAAGAAAAAAAAAAAGCAAGAAATCAAAACGAAAAAGCTGAAAAATAGCGTTCTAAAGAATGTCGGAAATTGAAAGCAAAAAGCAAGAAAATACCATAAGAAAGAAAGTAAAGAAAATGAAAAGAAAGGAATAAAAAGCCAAAGGCATAAAAAAATTAAACTTCTTTAAGAGAGAGGAAAAGATTAAATAATAGATTGTAAAAAGAAGAAAAAGAGAAAGAAAGGAGAAAGAATCAAAGACAAAACAAAGCGAAGAAAAAAGGCGGCAAAAATCCCATTTTGAAAGAAAGAAGAATTAGAAAGATAAAAAAAAGAGAGAAATTGAGGGATAATGTGAAAATGAGGTAACAAAATAAAAATAAGGTTACGAAATGAAAAAAAAAAAAAGAAACAAAAATTTTCTCCGACGACCAAATTAAAAATAATAAAAACCTTTTAAAAATAAAAAGAAAGTAATTAAAAGTTAATTTTCTATTAATGGCGTTGATTTCGAAATAAAAATGGCGGCGTTGGAGACGCTATGATTGCCGCAGGTGATTCTCAATAGTTACAATTCAAATTAACATTTCATCTCCGATTGAAATGCTTTTGTTACATTTCGCCACAACTCTGTCTATCGAGTCTTACTCTATCACTATAACTTATCCCGATGTCCGGAATTTGGCTATCCACAGCTTCCTATCTTAATAGCGCTAAGGCAGTTTTTCTTAACCTTTTTTGAGTCACAGATCCCTTGAGTCACGGATCCCATATGTCACGGACCCTTTGAGCCACGGATCACTACAAGAACTAGTGCTTCATACACAGACAGACAAACTGATACTCAGTCTGATTGTTTTTTTCGCAACACTTGTATGGGCTTTCCTCCATACTGCGACTTCATGCACACTGGACACATCACTTTTCAGTCAGCCACGCTTGAAAGAAATTGAGGTCAATTAATCCTCACCAATACGTGAGAAGAAAATCAAGTCGTGATAAGCCATGGAAAATAAGAATTATCACTTGCTCTCATGGAGTGGCAAAAGATGACGATCGTGCATGGAATGATGACACGCGTTTAAATGGTAAACAAGGACCCAACAGCAAGTCTAGATACGCCTAGCGGTCTGCACTGTCAGTAGTGGCTGGGTGCGTTTTTCTTTTATTTCTTTCAATAGAAAACCGTTGATTGGTGGGACAAGGGCAAATATAAATGTTAACTTTTATCTGATCATCACGGACCCCTTGAAATCCTTCCATGGACTCCAAGATAAGAAGACCTGCTCTAAGCAATGTATGCTGGTCATTTTCCTATAAAAATGTATTGCTAGTCATTTTCCTATAAAAATGTATTGCTGGTCATTTTCCGATAAAATGTATTGTTGGTCATTTTCCTATAAAATGTATTGCTGGTCATTTTCCTATAAAAACTTATTGCTGGTCATTTTCCTGTAAAATGTATTGCTGGTCATTTTCCTATGAAAATGTATTGCTGGTCATTTTCCTATGTAAATGTATTGCTGGTCATTTTCCTATAAAAAGGTATTGCTGGTTATTTTCCTATTAAAGTATCTTGCTGGTCATTTTCCTATAAAAGGTATTGTTGGTCATTTTCCTATAAAAATGTATTGATGGTCATTTTCCTGTAAAATGTATTGCTGGTCATTTTCCTATGAAAATGTATTGCTGGTCATTTTCCTATAAAAAGGTATTGTTTGTCATTTTCCTATAAAAGGATGTTGCGGAGAACCATGATCGCCTATATCTTGAATTAAGACGGTACACAGAAGAAGGAGAAGAAGAAGAAGAAGAAAAAGAAGAAGAAGAAGAAGAAGGCTGTTGTTCTTTCTTCATTCTCATTTAGCTTTTCACGCGTCTCCATTCCAAATATTTTAAATCCCACTTTTTCTTGCACATACAATCCTTACACATCATGAATTCTTTCGGATCACCATCTCTAGCTGTTTTGCTGCATTTCAACAACTTCTCTGTCATTCTCTTTTACATTGTTTCTTTCCTCCATTTTGGGTATCCCATCATTCCCTGCTCTCTCTCTCTCTCACCATTATTGCATTTCAGCTAAAACTCACAGAAAACTTGTTCCTAAGCCAAACGGCTGAAATGTCTGAACTCTTTAATTCGCATCCATTAACACTTGAAATCATTTCTTCTACGACGAAGTTGACTTCATTCGGCCTACTTCTGTCGATCGTTGTTGTGTCTATTAAGCCTTCGTAGCCATCGGAGCCATTACGACCGTTTCTAATACATTACTCGACCTTGGAGGAATAGAAAGAAAATGGAAATTTCGTTGAATTCGATTATCTTTCGAGAAAAGCTTAATGTCAAGAAAGCATTACTTTTCGCATTGGAGCCCTCCAAATGTAGAGTGTAGATTCTACACGAGAGTTCAGGGAAATAGGTTGAAACTTGCTTATCTATAAGATTACACAGTGTTCCCAATGTCTCGCCGTATATTTTGTATAGCTGTTCTGGTGTTTTGGCTTCGTATTTAGAGATTCTTGATAAAATCTGCATTATTATTGGTCCTGAACTGGCATCTCGGTTTCAATTACTTTACCACCGCCGTAACGTAACTTTCTCGGTCCTTTTCTATAAATATTTTCATGGCGACTGTTCTGATGACCCTTACTCTTTGGAACGTAGACTTTATGAATTGAAGCGCAGTACTAGATTGGCGGCAAGGTCTCAGCATTTTACAGTTGAAGTAACGAGATGTAACCGTAAGTAATAAGTTAAGAGTTTCTTCACTCGCACTTGGCGATTGTTGAACATTCCTTCAGCTTTTGGAAGATCATCTTGAATAAGTTAGAAAATGATCCAAAAAATAATAATAATAATAATAATAATAATAATAATATATATATATATATATATATATATATATATATATATATATATATATATATATATGACCTATATTTCAATACTTCAGGAGCTTCCGATCCTTAGCTACGATTAATTAATGATGAACATGTCATTTTTGTTTATGATTGATTTTATCACGATTCTTCTAACAGAAGAATCGTAACGAAATCTTGAGAGTAATTATACATTCTTATTGCTCAAAGTAGAGACTAATAGTGTTATAAACTTCTCGGAGAATTCCAGTAAAATATCTTTAATCATTTCTAAGATACAACTGTTCGGAGCTTAATGTAACAAATGAACAATTTTGCTTTTTCACGATTTGAACATTTTCTGTTGCATCCAGTATGCAACACAGACACAGACGCACATATTATATATATATATATATATATATATATATATATATATATATATGAAATAGATAGATAGAGAGAGAGAGAGAGAGAGAGAGATGTTGGTTGACGGGTTGTTTAGCTTGATGGCCATTTGATACCAACAAAATTTTGAAATAGATTCATAGCGATAGTTTGGTAAAAGAAGGTGTGCATATATACATATATATTTGAACCATTTTTAATTGCTCATTTTTTGAGTACATTTTATTGCTGGTAATAATTTTTTTAATTACAAAGTATTTCTGGTATTAAAACCTATTTTTACACAAGTTTGGGGTGTTAATATTTGCACATAGCTGGGACCCTAACAGGTGCTACCACCCCGGGTCAGCAATTAAGAGGTGGTTCCACGCTCCTCAAAACATCCTGATCGGAGGCCTTGCTGTTGGATGTCTTACCCAGGACGCGGATGTAGTTTATCATCATGCAAAAGAGAGAGAGAGAGAGAGAGAGAGAGAGAGAGAGAGAGAGAGAGAGAGTAGCTGTGTGTCGGATGATGATCCTGGGTCTAAACATAGGTATCGGGACGACAGTAACATTATCATCATCCCAGCGCGCTCCAAATCACTCTAACATTTTTCACTTTTATTGAAGCTCGTGATACGTGACTGACCAATGAGAATTGAACCAAACAAAACTAAAAATACTAAGATTCTCTCTTTCTGTCTATATTCTCTCAATCTCTGACGAAGCTTTAATAAATGTGAAACATGTTAGGTTGATATACGTTTCATATTTGTTCTTTATTTTATGACACACACACACACACACACACACACACACACACACATATATAAATATATATATATATATAAAATAAATACTTTTATAAACTCTGAACAACCAAAACAAAGACAAATGCAAATCCTTCGTTTTTGAGCTATTATGTTTAAAGAAAGTTTACAGGGGATGTCACAGTGTTATCATGTAAACTAGGTTATATTTGTCAGTCGTGTACATTTGTGACTAGTCTGTCTTCAATGATTAACGCGTGTAGTAGTGAGTTAACTGTGCAGTGTTCCATTTAACAATGGCAGGATATTTATATCGTGAGCAGGCAGATATGATTTTTACATAAGGCAGCGCGAATGGTAATGGACGCGAGGCTGCACGGCTGTATCCGATTGCATTTCCAGACTGAGGGCCACCGAGTTATTCAACCTTTGCTGCTGTTTATCGTCGCGTTGCTGAGACAGGATCCATGGTACCACAAACTATGGATCGAGGAAGACCGAGATCCGCTCGTACGCCTGACCACGAGGAACACATTATACAGGCTGCCAGAGATAATCCAGGTATCAGCACACGTCAAGTGGCTCTGGAATGTTGTACATTTCATTGTACAACATGGAAAGTACTTCAAGAGTGGTTCCTGTATCCGTATCAGTTGCAGGGTTTCACTATGACTCAATACGGGCAAAAGCTATTTTGCCGATAGTTTATTGCACAGACTGCAGATCCGTTGATTGTCTCTTCAGTCTTGTTTACAGATGAGACTACATTTGGAAGAGATAAAATAACAAATTTACACAACCAACATTTGTGGGCCGATCGGAGTTCCCATGGACAGCAGCATCAGTTTACGATTGATTTGTGGGCTGGAATTTTAGGTGACTGTCTGGTAGGTTCATATTCCATCCTCCCCATCCAGCATGTACGGCATCTTTGGAAAGTGCCTGAAAACCATATCACGGGCTGACCCAAGCCTTGTGAGTGAAATTGGGTTGGCAGAATTCTTGGGGGCCGTCGATAGCTGTGCTAGCACGAAGCCACAAGTCATCGTGGCCGAGGGCTTGAGTGTGTTGGCCTTCTTCAAATTGCTGATCACGCTAGATAACACGCTCTCTCCCAAAAACTGTAACTAAAGTCTGCTCCTCATAGTTTCAGTATAAACCTCAAGTATGCT